TTATCATTTTGCAAGGGTTCAAAACTGGATCACTCCCACTGCAAGACTGTAGTACAAGAGAAATTCACTTTGCTGAGAGGAGCAGCCAACCTCCAGCCTGTGTTTCAACATAAACTTATTATTATTTATATTCATAATAACTCTCCTATTGTGATACGAGTTGTATTTCTTTGTGTATAAAAAGTGACATCTTTAGAAACCAACTGTTGGTGCTAGAGTGAAGACATTTAAGCAAGAGACAGTCTATAATCAATTTTAGTTCAGTATTTCCCAAAACATGACAATTGTCCCCAGTATTAATAATTCTTTCAGAATGAAGGAAGAGGAGAAAGACAACGAAGAGGAAGGAGAGGAAAAGAAAAAGAAGAAAGGAAAAAAAGGGAGCCAGGAGAAAGAAGACAGAGCAGAAGATAAAAGAAAAAAAGAAGTCCAAAATAAGTTTAGAAATGCTATAGACACCCCCAACCCCAGCCCCAACCCCAATGCACTTACTTGCAGACTGGCACATGAAAGCCTCTGAGAAATCTTATAATAAATAAATTCGTTTCATCTGTTTAACATAGAGCTTCTTAAACTTATTTGAGAACAAACAGTTTTCTCATGGCACATAGTGTACCGTGAATACTGGCTTGGGATTCATAGAAATCCATAATAATTCATAGAATGCTTTTTTAAAAAAATTTATTTAAAATACTCCTGCCCCATTAAACCTCGCTTTTGTAGAAAATATTATTTGCAATGATAATGTTCTTGAATCGAGATTTCCCTACGGTTTTATAATTTATCTTGCACAAGAATATGGACATTTAAGTCAAATGCGTTATTTTTCCTTCCTTCATTTTCTGTTTTTGTACAATTTATTCTCCTTCCTGTATAATTATTTGGGTAGTTGTATACTCTACCATTTGTTTATTTTTATTTCATTTTATTTGCTCCTTTAACAAACTCATCTGTAGTCCTCACCATGCACTGGTTTAAGTGCTTTATTAATAACAACCCGTGTACTAAAACAATTCCATGAGATAAGTGGCATTATTTCTATCCCTATTTTATAAGTCAGAAAATAAAAGTTCCTAATAGTGATAAGGCATTCTTGCCTAGATCCTATGTTTTAAGAAAACTATTACTAATATTTTACTAATATGTAGTTATATTATGGCTTCTATTTCTAAATACTAACTTATACCATGTAAAGGAAGAAAATCTCTATTCATTTTTATTTCTTTCTGTAAGGTAACTTTAGTCAACATTACATACTGAATTGTGCTAAATACGTTTCTTCACCTCTACTGAGATCACTGTTTTGTGCCCTTTTGCAGCTAATGAAGCAGGATGCTAGCTTTGCGTTCTTGAGACTAACAGTCCTCTGTTAGGATGCATTACTGACTTCAATGTACTGTGTTTTCTGAGCTCAGAATAAGGTTTTATTTCTAAACTCATAAATGACATTGAACGACCAGTTTCTTTTATGGAGGAGGGTATAAATACATTCACCTCAGTCATTTTAATATATAAATATTCATGATGTGGCTGCCACGTTGTTCTGTACTAGATACTGTAGACCATGAAAGATGCAAAAAGAGCATAATATGCGAGGGCACTGAGGGGAGGGCTTTTTATCACAGCGTCGGGAAAGGACCATATTAGACAAGAAGACAACGCCAATGATTTTCAGAACTTCATAAATGCTCTGAATCCGTATATCTACGCACTTGTCATATACTCCATTTGGATGTTCCCCTAGATTTAAGATTACTTAAATGCAAGAGGTCCCAAGAGGTCCCAAGAGGTCCCAAGAGGTCCCAAGAGGTCCCAAGTCCACTGGCTGAAAACACAGGGCCAATATCCACGGCCCTCTTGTTGGCGGCTATAACCCCACCAGCTGGCCACACACCCAGGATATAGTGAGTACCTAAAAAATCCTTTTTTTTTTTTTTTTAATGAGCCAGTTTCTTAACCAAATCAACTAGTCAGGTCAGTTTTTAAATGCAGGGCAGCTAGAGATTTGCTCAATGGGTCAACCAGGAAAAAGCTACTACAAAAATGTCACCCTCATCTGAAGTCGTTCTGGAGATGTGAGGGGAACAGGAAGCGTGGGGAGATTCAGACAAGACCACCAACAGAGTCTCTGAGACCTGGAGAGAAAAGAAAGGACCAGAACCTTCCTGTCTCCTACTCCAGATCCCCAAGCCAAGGGAAAATGGGTCTGGTCTGTGCCATCAAATCTTCTAGCCCATTCATCCGTGTGTGTGTGTGTGTGTGTGTGTGTGTGTGTGTGTGTGTGGAGGAGCGGGCCCTAAGGAAGGACATTTGGAGGAGGGATATGGAGGCAGACCATTGATGGGATGGGGAGGTGTGGTGTTATCTGTCGAAGATATTTTGATCAACTGGACTGGGGAGAAATGTGCACATATTGAAATGTTCACTTTGTAAGCTAAATAATGTGAGTGAATGTATATTTAAAAATTTAAAATTAATTAATTAATTAATTTTAAAAATTTTTAAAAAATCTTCTAGCCCCAGGGAGCTCCGGGAGTGGAGACTTAGGGACGACCAAGGAAGAGAGAAAAAGTCTGACCTGTTCCTAACAGGTCTTGAGCCAGTCACCGGCTAGCTGGTGACCAAAATACAGTCAGACCCAACGAAATAGAGGCTGTATCACAACTGGGTAGCTAACCCCATCGAATAAGGAAGCTAGACACATTCATGTTCTTTCTCTTAATCCTATTCCTGTTTCAATGCTCCCCATTATGCTTTTCCTCCCTCCCCCACTAAGTCCCTTTCTCCGTTCCAAGTCCTTATTATTTTCTTTTCTGGGTCTGATGCCCTTCACTGTCCCCTCCATCTCAGTTCAGATCCCTGCCTAGCCCCTACTTCAGCCTCTCTCCCCCAGTCCCTGCCTGCTCTTCTTCCCTGCCCTGCCTGGCCTGCCTGCTCTGCTCTCCCTTCTTCCCCTGGTCCTATTGCTAGGATCCTGGGTGGCTGTGGGTTCCACTGAGTACGGTGCTCTCTCCTCTCCCATCCTGGTGGGGTCCATAGCCAGTTCTCCTGTTGCTCAGAGATGTGGAAGCAGTTGCTAAGAGACAGTGAAACGTCAGTACCTGGCCCTCGAGGAAAAAAGGGGAGCGGAAAAAGGGAGAGAGGAGGGAGAGGGATGGAGGGAGGGGGGGAGAGAGAAAGCGAGGGAGGGAGGGGGAGACCTGGCTCTGGCGGAAGCCACGTACCCCAGCTGCCTCAGCACCAGCTGAGTTTCAGGAAGGATTCAGATTCTGTGAACTTTCTTCTAAGCATCCTCTCTCTGATCCCCTTTCTGGGTAAAAGAAGGGGCACAGGGGCTGCAGGACCAGAAACCACAGAAGATGCTGGCCTGGGATCCAGGAGACAAGGAGGAGGAGAGATCGGGGGAGGGGAAGAGCCGGGGAGGCAATCTGCTCTGAAGCACAGCAAGCGAGCTCGGGGATTCCAGGATGAGGGAGGGAGACCTGTGTCGGCTGCAGATTGATGGCAGTGTCCTTGGAACAGAGTGAGTAGGCTCAGGCGGGCCTGTGGGAGTGCAGAGGGAGACCCTGGGCTCAGAAAAATTGAGTCTGAATAAAGCGGACCTGGGGTGATTTCCCAGTGGGTGGGATTGAGGCTGAAAGCGGAAGCAAGGTAGTATCCGGACAGAAGAAAGAGTGAGGGGAGGGCAAGTGAGGACAGCAGGTGGGCAAGGGAGAAACAAAGGCACACAGAGGGCCACGGGTGGGTGCAGGCTGAGGCTCTGTGTGTCACCATTCTGTCCCTCTGCCTGACCAAGTGTGGGTGTGGGCTTAAGCTCAGGGACAGCGAGCAGGAGAGCAGAGTGTTTGTGGACCACGATGCTGGGATCCGGGTGTGCTGTGGCTGGTGGGGGGTCAGTGAAAGATGGTGGGGCAGACCCAGGAGAGGGAGCGCATGCAGAAGGGATACAGGGGAGTCACAGAAGAATGGTGAGTGTGTGTGTGTGAGTACGTAAGAGAGACAGGAGCTCTGAGAGTGTGTGAAAGGGGTGTGCAAACAACCAGAGTGTGAATGCATGTTTTTCTTAGGGAGTTCTTCAAGGATGGGTGCTTCGTGCTGATGCGGGTGGGGCTAGAAGAAGAGAATGCACCTAGCCCAGATGGAAACCTGGAGGATGCTGCAGGTCGTGGTGGGGAGGGCTACATGTGACAACTGTGTGAGGCTGGGGTCTGAACCAGCATGGCCCACACGTGGGTGAGGGTAAGGAGAGAACTTCATAGTCAGGAAAGAGGGGTTAAGAGGAGGATTGAGAGAGATAGGAAGAGAGAAAAGAGAAGAAAGAAAGAGAAAGAGGACAAGAGAAAGAAGAAAGGTGGAATAGGAGACCTGGGTGAGGGGGACAGGGGTGTGGAGGACATCAGAGTACTCTGCCTGAGTGATTTCCTTGTTTACAGAGGGACGTCCACCTCCACCTGCT